GTCAAGTTGTGCGTGGGAAAAATAAATTACGGTGCGAGTTGGTGAGTTTTCTTTCGGGTCAATGTACTGACAAACAATTCCATGAGGGCGACCCCTTTCTATAGTTGGCCTCAAATATCATGTGCATGCTTGTGCTCTTTTCAATGAAATATTGACATGTCTTGAAGCGCAGCCTCAAACAATAGTCTTGTGTCCCATGCCGCACAGAAACCCGCCAGTGGTAACAGTTAAAGGAGCTTTTTTGAGTGGGTGGGAAGATATTTTTTAATGACTAATCTGTTCAGAAATATGCTCAAACGAATAGTTTGTTTTGTGGAAAATACCCAGACATCCAAATGTTTGTAATGACAGTGAAAATAAATTGATTGTTTGATGGTGCCTAATAAATTAATAGTTTGTTGGATACAGCAGGGAAAAACAATTTGTTCTCGCGACATATATTATATTGGACCCGTGAAGATCCGGGGTAGAACAGGTCTTCAGCACCCCACGCTTGTCGTAAAACGGGATCGGGTGGCGGTCAAGCTCGCTGACTTTGTTGATGCATGTCATCGTTTCCCAATTGCCTTAATCGATGCTCATGATGTCAATCACAGGATTGTGTGGTCCAGACTCTATTATTTACAGACCGCCGTCATAAAGCTGGAACATTGCTGAGTGCGGCGTTAAACAACAAATAAACAAACCATGCGACTGTTCTACGCTATTTGACCCACATGTGGATATTCCACGATTCAACATATTTTCAACACCCATTTGTCATTGTAACTGATATAAAAATAACTATAAAAGCCCATTAGCAACCCGAACGAATATGAATATATAAGCACTAATTATTGTATAAATTAAGCAAGATGTTGCACATGAAATTAGCATAAATTATGTACACATATCGTTACCTTTCGGTGTGGCATAGGTCACGTGACATGTAAACACGACGGATGGAACGCTTATTTATAAACGTACTCTTCATATATTTGAGTTAGACTACTTTAGTTCAACACATGGCATAAAATAAAACGGGACCTGCAGAACCAGTTGACGTTGAACCCATTCCGACGCGCTATCAATTCGGCAAACGGAAACAAAACAGTTATGATGTGAGTTGAAATGGGGTTCTCTTACGTCGTTCAAAATTAGTTATATTGCGACGTACATGCACGTGTGTGCGTGCGTGCGGGCGTGCGTTGCCTTGTTCTAGTCCGGATTAATGCCGCTTTCATAGTGCTACCTGCCCACCGAGACAAGATGCAGCAGTTAAACATGGATACCCCAAATTAGTCACACTATACTGACTCCGAACCGATCAGTCCTGGGCCCACTTGCACAAAGCGATCTTAGCGTTAAGACTATCGTAAGCCTATGTTAAAGTTTGGGAGTTACGATCATCTTAGCGCTAAGATCGCTTTGTGCAAGTGGGCCCGGGTTTTATTTCCTTAATGACGACTGCCATGAATAATCTGTTCAGAAATATGCTCAAATGAATAGTTTGTTTTGTGGAAAATACCCAAACATCCAAATCCGATCAGTCCTGCAGGGGCCACTTGCACAAAGCGATCTTAGCGTTAAGACTATCGTAAGCCTATGTTAAAGTTTGGGAGTTACGATCATCTTAGCGCTAAGATCGCTTTGTGCAAGTGGGCCCAGGTTTTATTTCCTTAATGACGACTGCCATGAATAATCTGTTCAGAAATATGCTCAAATGAATAGTTTGTTTTGTGGAAAATACCCAAACATCCAAATCCGATCAGTCCTGCAGGGGCCACTTGCACAAAGCGATCTTAGCGCTAAGACTATCGTAAGCCTATGTTAAAGTTTGGGAGTTACGATCATCTTAGCGCTAAGATCGCTTTGTGCAAGTGGGCCCAGGTTTTATTTCCTTAATGACGACTGCCATGAATAATCTGTTCAGAAATATGCTCAAATGAATAGTTTGTTTTGTGGAAAATACCCAAACATCCAAATCCGATCAGTCCTGCAGGGGCCACTTGCACAAAGCGATCTTAGCGTTAAGACTATCGTAAGCCTATGTTAAAGTTTGGGAGTTACGATCATCTTAGCGCTAAGATCGCTTTGTGCAAGTGGGCCCAGGTTTTATTTCCTTAATGACGACTGCCATGAATAATCTGTTCAGAAATATGCTCAAATGAATAGTTTGTTTTGTGGAAAATACCCAAACATCCAAATCCGATCAGTCCTGCAGGGGCCACTTGCACAAAGCGATCTTAGCGCTAAGACTATCGTAAGCCTATGTTAAAATTTGGGAGTTACGATCATCTTAGCGCTAAGATCGCTTTGTGCAAGTGGGCCCAGGTTTTATTTCCTCAATGACGACTGCCAGGCAGGGTAACAATAAGTACAATCCGGTTACGTCCTTAGTATGACGCGCCCCAGTCAGAAATGGCCGATTGTAAACATAGCTTCCCATTTTAAATGTTCATTGTATTTGGGTATTTTGTGTGGGGACATGACTGTAAGTGAAAAGGCGATCTGTAACACAATATTATCTACGGCAGGTGTCGAGATAAATATTTGGTGTCGAATTCGTCATAAAATTGCATGCCTCGACGTGAATATGTAGATAGCATACGTTGTCAATGTTTCTATGAGTACCGTACTGTGTTATAAAAATGACCAACAAATAGTTTTGGGGCGTTCACCCTTGTAAGGCACAGGGAGTATTTAATCTTGATTATATTTTATTTTTTAGTTTATTTGTTTTTACTTTATGTTCTTCCGCCTCCATAATTTGGACGTTGGGAATACTTTATCTTCATTGGTAAAACGACGGTATCAACACAAAATTAACATACGTAAAACTTATATAACCTCATCACTGTGTAAAAATGTATTTTTTATGTAAACAACTGTGTTCATTATCATGAAGTCTGCTCAGTTATTTAGAAATATGTTTTTGAAATATCAATGACCAATTGTTTGCAAAATTATTGCGGCGAAGACCAGTTCATTGACTCCAACATTAACAACAGGAAACGTCTCAGTTTCAGGGCCCACTTGCACAAAGCGATCTTAGTGCTACAACACCCACATTAAGCTGACACGCCGTGATATAACTGGAGTAATGTTAAAAGCGGCGTTAAACCCAACTCCGATCTTCATACCTGTGACTCGTTTGCTGTGTTGCGGCACTCAATGTTCAAATCATGTTTGTTATCAACTGTACGTCCTGTTACCGAGATAGGAGTGAGTGAGTGAGTTGGGTTTAACGCCGCTTTTAACAGTATCCCAGTCATATCACGGCGTGTCAGCTTAATGTGGGAGGAAAGCTCGAAGTGATGCAGGTCTCAGACGTTTACCACTTTGGTTTAAACGCACGAGCACGAGTATGTTGCTGACAAACCTAGAAACATAATCGGGTCGAACCGGGATTCGAACCCACAATCATAGGTTTCTGGCGTGCCCAAGGGACGCAACCCTGCACAGCGAATCGCGGCGCCTTAGACGACTGGGCCACCCGTGCCCCCTACCGAGATAGGATGACGGATTAATTAATTTTATAAGACCTCCTGCTTCTACCTGCGCCTGCAGGATATTTTCTGACAGTAATACTCACACAAACAGAAATATAAGGTTACACTTTATAAAGAATCCATAAATTTTGCTGAAATACAATAAAGAATGCATATATACTGAGTTAGGCAATACAAGTATATACGTGTATAGTGCAGTTGATTACATCACTGGTCGGTGGGTATCCGCAGTTTTAGTCTGGTCAGTTCATTCTTAATTCTGTAATTTATTTCGTATGGGAAACTGAGACATTAATATTCGATCCTGACTTTGTCAGCGCCGCACCCGTGCTCGTGGGGGTTATCAAACGCACCCGTGCTCGTGGGGGTATCAAACGAACCCGTGCTCGTGGGGGGTTTCAAACGCACCCGTGCTCGTGGGAGTTATCAAACGCACCCATGCTCGTGGGGGTTACCAAACGCACCCGTGCTCGTCGGGTTATCAAACGCACCCGTGCTCGTGGGAGTTATCAAACGCACCCATGCTCGTGGGGGTTACCAAACGCACCCGTGCTCGTGGGGTTATCAAACGTGCTCCTGGGGTATCAAATGCATCCGTGCACGTGGGGGTTATCAAACGCATCCGTGCACGTGAGAGGGTATCAAGACTTTGTAGTAAACGACTTAGTGGCAACGAGTTCTCATCCTGCATAAAACTGAGACGCCGTGATATAACTGAAATAATCTTTACAGATGCGTTAAATCCAGTTAACTAGCTATCTATGAGGGATTGCATTGCTATTTCGCCGTTTTTGTCTTATAATATTCCAGCAATATTAAATGGGGTTCACATACTGTACGATTTGTTTAGATGTCGGAATTAACCCAGGCCTTGGGACGAGCGAACGCTTTAACCACTAGGCTGCTCTATCTCCCATCATTGATGTCAGCCATCAAATACGCATAAACTGCATGACCTCAGAAATAACTGTTTTCGCATCAAGCAATTTATCATTTTCACAGTACTCCGGTGTAATTAATAATTTCTTGTATAGCTCGTTATCGATCAGCCCGTCGTTGTGAATAAAAGGTGTCTTTAAAAATCCATTTTAAAAAGGCTATTATATATTTCCGAAGATGAATAGAATGGTGTTTTGTGTACTTGAAAACTATTCCTTTTCACAATGTCAGTATATATCACCTGTTACAATAATATATGTGTTTAATGATTTTGGCACGGGTGATAAAAAGCCCTGCGCGAAATGTGGGACCCTTGCTGTTTGTCGCAACCTCTGCTGACTCGCGCATCGCCATTCAATAAGCGTTCACATTCTTGCCCCCAAGATGTAACCGACCTACGCCGACAACAGTTGGCTCCAGCTGGAGATGATGAAACAAGCACGTACCGAAACGGCCCGGTTGTCGAACCCTTAAAACAATACCGACATATCACAAGGTTTGAAGCACAGGGACATATAGTCACACATATGTGAGACACACTATACATGCTTATATGATTTATAGTAACATTAATAGAAATGTGCGTCGGAAAATTTACGAGCAATTTATATCCCCGTATTTCATATACACGTGACAATTCCATGTGTAATCGTATACTATTATTTAGCATGTTATCGATCATTCCGCCATTTTGGGTTTCCAATCAATACCCGTAGTAATCGATGGGTTTGATGTAGCCACAGGGTGTTCTGCCCAGCTGTTTCGAGGAACAGCCCGATGGTAGGTTCGATCGATATATATATATACACAGTGTACCTATGGAGACCTGGGGACTTTAGAGATTGCTAGACTCGACAATCTGAGAGAAGCATTGCAGGTTTGTCCGCCACGTTGCGAATCGGATTACGGGTAGATAATTTTAGTCCACCGCTTGCGGGTGGGTTGGAGATTACCGTCGGCTTGTCAAGGTAAGAGGATTTTGATAACGTTTAATAGATTTCTTCTATCACCAGTACTGTTAAAACATATGTTAGTTATCACTGACTTTAAGTGGTATTTGAGAGTCGTGTTGGTAAAATCGCTTATGGCGTGTTTACATTCTCCGCTATAACGCGTCTGCTTAGGTGCGCACATTGACATGCCACTTCGATATAACGTATCAATTTTCACTGAAGTCACGGGTTTGTGTTTAAACACGGAGGTTGTAATCAAATTGAAGACTTACAACGTCATGTTGTGACGAATATATATGATTTTTTAGTTGAGGTTATTTGGAACGAGAGATTTCAATGATAAGAGAGAGAGAGTTCCCTATTCCGTATAGTGAGCAGCGATATAAACGGGGTAGTTAGGAATGCATTGTGTCTCTGGGAATGTGTTGTGTGTCTGGATGTGTGTTGTGTGCTTGTGTATGCATTGTGTGACTTGATGTGTGTTGTGTGTTCTGTATGTGTCCTTGTACATCTGTTGTGTGCTTGTGTGTGTGCCTCGGTGTGTGTTGTGTGTTTGTGTATGCGTTGTGTGTCTGGATGTGTGTTGTGGACTTGTGTTTGTGCCTCGGTGTGTGTTGTGTGTTTGTGTATGCGTTGTGTGTCTGGATGTGTGTTGTGGACTTGTGTTTGTGCCTCGGTGTGTGTTGTGTGTTTGTGTATGCGTTGTGTGTCTGGATGTGTGTTGTGGGCTTGTGTTTGTGCCTCGGTGTGTGTTGTGTGTTTGTGTATGCGTTGTGTGTCTGGATGAGTGTTGTGGACTTGTGTGTGCGTGGTGTGCCTCGATGTGTGTTGTGTCCTTGTGCATGTGTTGTGTGCTTGTGTATGCGTTGTGTGCTTGTGTTGTGTGATTGTGTGTGTCGTGTACTTGTGTGTGTGTGTTATGTGTTGTGTGCTTGTGTATGCCTTGTGTGCCTCGATGTGTGTTGTATGTTGTGTATGTGTCGTGTGTGTGTTGTGTGCTTGTGTATGTGTTGTGTGCTTGTGTATGTGTCGTGTGTGTGTTGTGTGCTTGTGTATGTGTTTTGTCCTTGTATATGTGTTGTGTGCTTGTGTAGGCATTGTGTGCTTATGTTGTGTGATTGTGTGTGTCGTGTGCTTGTTTGTGTGTTATGTGTATATGTCGTGTGCCTGGGAATATATTTTGTGTCTGGTTGTGTGTTGTGTGCTTGTGTATGCGTTGTGTGCTTGTGTATGCGTTGTGTGCTTGTGTGTGTGCCTCGGTGTGTGTTGTGTCCTTGTGTATGTGTTGTGTGCTTCTGTATGCGTTGTGTGCTTGTGTTGTGTGATTGTGTGTCGTGTACTTGTGTGTGTGTTACGTGTATATGTAGTGTGCCTGGGAATATCTTGTGTGCTTGTGTATGTGTTGTGTGCACCAGTGTGTTGCGTGCTTGTGTTGTGTGATTGTGTGCTTGTGGATGTGTTGTGTGCTTGTGTGTGTCGTGTGCTTGTGTATGTGTTGTGTGTATTTGTCGTGTGTCTGGACATGCGTTGTGTGTGCTTCGGTATGTGTTGTGTGTCTGGATGTGTGTGTGTGTTGTGTGCATGTGCCGTGTGTTTGTGTGTGTTGTGTGTATGCGTTGTGTGCCTCGGTATGTATTGTGTGCTTGGGTATGCGTTGTGTGCTTGGGTATGTGTTGTGTGTCTGGATGTGTGTGTGTGTGTGTGTGTGTGTGTGTGTGTGTGTGTGTGTGTGTGTGTGTGTGTGTGTGTGTGTGCCGTGTGCTTGTGTGTGTTGTGTGTGTTGTGTGTATGTGTTGTGTGCTTGCGTATGCGTTTGTGTGCCTCGGTATGTATTGTGTGCTTGTGTATGTATTGTGTGCTTGTGTATGTGCTGTGTGCTTGCGTATGCGTTGTGTGCCTCGGTATGTATTGTGTGCTTGTGTATAATCAGATTGCAAGATAACAAATTAAGTCCGTTTGCTATATATCTCAGGGTACCCGGGCGTTAAACCAGGACTGACCGGCTCGGAGTCAGTATAATATGTCTGAGAAGGTACTGGCAGACGCACCGACGCACGCACGCACGCACGCACGCGCATGCACAAGGGTTTGAGTGCAATACTCTTGAACGCGACATTAAACCCTATTTCACCCCACCGTTATATCTGGCCCTGACTCAGCTATTTACAAGCTGTTTGATATAACTGGAATTGCTGACTGCGGCATAAAAAACCCTGCCTCACTCCCTAGATAAATCCCGATTTCAGTCCGAAATACACGCAAATGAAATAGCTCCATTCGGTGTTTGTTCAAACAAAACGTAAGCCTACCTTGTGTTTCTAACCTTGAACGTTCAAATTAATGTGTTCAGCAATGCTTCTCTTTATTGATTTTACAGATAGCAATGTAACGAAATCACTGAGCAGAAGTTTAGATTAAACATATTCAATTTACTTTTCCGAACCAAATTATTCATTGCAACGAATATTTAAATCGACCAAAAAGGCAACTAGCGACAGCAGAGTGGACTAAATTATAAAGTATGCATTCCAACATTCCTGCATGAAAGACTTTGAAATTTGTATGAACTGAAATAAACTGAGCGAAATTTGCATGGTTCGAGACATGCCTCCTTGATTTCGCCCAACGAGAGCGTGCAGCTGCCGTATATATCCTAATAAACTGCTAGGCAAAAGAACACAACAACGATACCCGTACCAAAGATTTCACCATCAAAATAACCCCATTTCTTGTTTGTTTCATTTGTAGCCACCATCAAACATGGGTGTATAATTTCTTTAACCCAGAAGTTTAATTTATAAGCACGTGGTCTCTCCTGAAACCGTGTTCAGTATATCTTTCACATTGCTCTCAAATCGCTTTTTGACGTGGTGAGTCACTAACATGTGACAATCACGAACAATCGCTGGCCCTAAAGTATATTAGCATCCTCGATTATCCAGAGTATTATATCTCAACTGTTGATAAATAACCTGGGCCCATTCTCCACCATTGCTTCATTTTGAACCCCGTCTGAATGACACGTGGGGGCACGGGTGGCCCAGTCGTCTAAGGCGCCGCGATTCGCTGTGCAGAGTTGCGTCCCTTGGGCAATCCAGAAACCTATGATTGTGGGTTCGAATCCCGGTTTGCCCCGATTATGTTTCTAGGTTTGTCAGCACCATACCCTTGCTCGTGGGTTTCACCGAAGTGGTAAACGTCTGAGACCTGCATCACTTCGGGCTTTCCTCCCACATTAAGCTGACACGCCGTGATATAACTGGAATACTGTTAAAAGCGGCGTTAAACCCAACTCACTCTATCACTCACTGAATGACACGACGATAGATATAACCGTCCAATCAAATTACACTATAAGGGGACATTGCATACACTGTTCCCTGTGGGGATTCCGGGCCGCCAGTAACCTTAGCTGATCGAAACAAGCGACCGAATGGATGGCGTGGTCGGGCTCGGTGACTTGGTTGATTGTGTGCCACCGTACGCCGGTCGTGTAGATCGCTGCTCATAATATCAATCACTGCTCATAATATCAATCACTGGATTTTTTTGGTCTGCTTCATTATTTGCAGGCCGCCGTCAAATAGCTGGAATATTACTGAGTGCGGCGTAAAACAACAAACAAACAAATAAATACACTGGATTTCAAGTGGTTCGTTCAGTAGTTTTTGAAACATTTTGTGCAATGAAATGATATTTGAACTTCATCTTCAATTCAGCTAGAGTGAGTGAGTGAGTTTAACGCCGCTTTGAAAAGTATTCCAGTTATATGACGGAGTGTCAGTTTGATGTGGGAGGAAAGCCCGAACTTATGCATGTCTCACACACAATTCAACCAGAACTGCAGTGCAGACCCATTGCATCTATTGTATCAATATATTTGTACGCGTACAATTTTAGTATTGAAATGCGCACACGAAGTGAAACGAATTTTCATACCACCCTGTTCGGGGATGTATCGTGGAAATGTGCAATATGTATTATTTTTTTAAATGAGTTACTAGAATGGGGACTAAAGAAAAGGCAGGTGAAGATTTTGGCCCTTACCAGAGGAATTACGGGGCGGTCGGGTAGCCTAGTGGTTAAAGCGTTCGCTCGTCACGCCGAAGACCCGGGTTCGATTCCCGACATGGGTACAATGTGTGAAGCCCATTTCTGGTGTCCCCCGCCGTGATATTGGTGGAATATTGCTAAAAGCGGCGTAAAACCATACTCACTCACTCACTCCCCAGAGGAATTACGACATTTAGTTTTATACTATGCAAATACTGACATCATGTCAAATGTCAGTATAAACATTTAACTTCTCTTGTGTTACAACAACAAACACAGAACAGTACGTTCTCGTTAATGTCACAGGTTTAAATGTCAACACGCCTCTACGTTTTAGTCTCTTGGAGTCATTAATGATTCATAGTATCTTGTGATTTCTTCCCCCGGAACATGTTATGCCGGCTATCTGTCGTGTGACCTGCAAAGTTGACATTTTCGTGAGTGGCGCTGCAGGTCATGATTATGCATTTCTTCTTTTAAGCATCTGGGTTAACAGTTATTAGAGGACGTATGGTAGTTGAATGACGTTTGCAATCGTTAATTAGCAATATAATTGCCACAACATCTGTCCACACGACGTACATAGCTGTGATAATTCATCCATGGCGTGGAACATTTGCTATTAAGAGAGCGAATTTGAGCAACAACTGCTGTCAAAAAGAGAATTTCAAGTTTTGTCATAGCACGTTAGCTCAATGAGGATGACATTTCAAAATAACACAGGTCGTTGTGAGTGTGTGTGTGCATGCGTGGTGTGCGTGCGTGGTGTGCGTGCGTGGTGTGTGTGTGTGTGTGCGTGCGTGCGTGCGTGCGTGCGTGCGTGCGTGCGTGCGTGTGTGTGTGTGTGTGTGTGGACAAACCTGTAGCCCCTGAAGTAAAGGGATGTAGAGGGCTATATAACAGTCAGTCTAACAGTGAACCTTCCAGGTGTAACGAGCACTCGGGACTCAGTGTGGGTCGACTCTAGACTGTCAGTACTGAGAAGGGGGTGAGAAATGGAACGGAGTTATTAATTATTGATTATTGCCATGGATGAATTATTGACATTTGTATTTAGGATTAGGGCAATTTGTTCGTGATAGATTTACAATACATTATTCTTCATTTAGTTTACGGGGCGGTCGGGTAGCCTAGTGGTTAAAGCGTTTGCTCGTCACGCCGAAGACCCGGGTTCGATTCCCGACATGGGTACAATGTGTGAAGCCCATTTTTGGTGTCCCCCGCCGTGATATTGGTGGAATATTGCTAAAAGCGGCGTAAAACCATACTTACTCATTTAGTTTACCTGCAGCACACCTCCAAAGAAAATCAAAACAGATCAAAGGATTCCTCAGGTTCAAATATTAGAAAAATGCTTCGAGCAAAAACCCATTTTCACACATTTTAGTCAAACCTAATCATCTGGACCAACGTCCAAAACACAAAAGAGTTGAAAAAAAACAAAAATCTGATACATTCATTTGAACACATTCTGAACACAACTTTTGAAGAGCTCTTTCATGTTCGCTCATTATACCAATATAAACATCTATGCATATAAGCTTGGCCATAGAGGGAGCCTGTCTTATCTCGTCATTTGCCCGAGCAAGGATCTCTAAAACTACTCGTGAAGTCAGCCACGGTGCATGTCAGTGGGGTTTGAAAGCAAATCTTTGTTAACGATAACATCAACCGATAACTCTGTGGAAGGGTTTGTTTCGTATATTCGTGAGTGTTGATTTCACCAGGCGTGGTGTTCGTGACGGTAGCGTGATTGGATTCAGTCATAGTTTGAGAGTTGGACACAAACGACAGAGCACTACCGTAAAATATTACGCCCATGTTGGTTTTAAACGCCGAAATGTTACAATGATAGCGATTTTTGGTGTTGTCGTTTAGCCTTAATAACGCCCCTTTGCCGTGTCCGGATCCACTGATCTTGTGTTCGAATCCAGGATTCGTTTCAGTTATGATCCTTTCATGTTTAGCCGTGACAAGCCGTGACAAGTGAAATGACACAACGCTTCTCAGGCTACAAGTTGTTGTTTTTTATTGTGTTTTAGCATTTTTGTGACATGAGAAAGTTTGAAACATTTTAGGCACATGAAATAATACATCATGAGTGCCTGATAAAAGTGCCGCGCAGCAACCGTTTATAGTAGTCTCGTCTGGCTCCAGATAGTACGTAACCCGTGAAGATCCGGTGTAGAATAGATCTTCAGCAACCCATGCTTGCCGTAAAAGGCGACTAACGGGATCGGGTGGTCAGGCTCGCTGACTTGGTTGATGCATGTCATCGATCCCAATTGTGTGGATCGATGCTCATGATATTAGTCACTGGATTGTCTGGTCCAGACTTGATTATTTACAGACCGCCGTCATATAGCTGGAATATTGCTGAGTGCGGCGTTAAACAACAAACCAACCAACCAACCAGATAGTACGTTCTCATAAAGCGATAGTAAACTTTATGGCATTGTGGGCAGGTTGACATTTTGATTTAAATGAGATAAAGTTATTTAACCTTACAAACACCGTTATCTTCTCAATAAACAATAAACACAGTAGCTTATCGCAGATGGGTGAGTCAGCGAAGGTGATGGTGAAAAATACACTTTGTTGTGTCCATGACTCATCCCTGCTTGAGTGACATAAGGTGAGGTGAAATGGGGTTTAACGTCGCGTCCAAGATTATTGCACTTATATAGCGACGTGCATGCACGTGTATGTGTGGCTGCTTGTTCTAGTCCGGACTGATGCGGATTTATAGTGCTAGCTCACTGAGATACCATGCCGCAGTTTAACATGAATACCCCACTCAGACACAGTATACTGACTCCGAGCCGACCAGTCCTTGTTTTAGCCCCTTAATGCCGAGCGCCAAACAGGGTAACTACAAGTATTGAATGACATAAAACAATGATGATATAATGTATATGAGGTAGTAGTAGTAGTAGTAGTAGTAGTAGTAGTAGTAGTAGTAGTAGTGGTAGTAGTAGTAGTAGCAGTAGTTTCTTGCTTGTTTGATTGTTTGTTGTTTAAAGCCGCTCTCAGCAATATTAGACGGCGGTCTGTAAATAATCGAGACTGGTCCACACAATCCAGTCACTGACATCATGAGAAATGATCTACGCAATTGGGATACGATGACATACATCAACCAAGTCAGTGAGCCTGACCATCTGATCCCGTTAGTCGCCTCTTATTAGGACAAGCGTAGTCGCTTTTTACGGCAAGCATGGGTTGCCGAAGACCTATTATTCCCTGGATCTTCACGGAGTAGTAGTAGTAGTAGTAGTAGTAGTAGTAGCAGTAGTAGTATCTGAAAATAATAGCGTAGTTGCCAAGACGTTTAACTTGAACTTATGGATGATCTGATGTCGTTTAATAACGGTTCAATAGCAATTCCCATCCAGTGATTTACCCACCTGAACTAGAAATAAAAGAGACTAGTGAGTTGCTTTTAATATAATTTTCTCGTAAAAATATCACACACAAAAGGTCATGGTATTGTGATACGTTTAGATTGTGTATACCTATTACCTATAAAACTTCAAAATGTCCTTATGTGTTGGTAAGTTTATGATACTCGTCATAGGCATTTATAGTTGGAAGAACATGGAGACATGACATTGTATAAAGCATCCGAAATATAAAAATAGTTTAATCAATTTCTCCATTGACATATTGAAATAGACCCGTGAAGATCCGAGGGAGAATAGGTCTTCAGCAACCCAAGCTTGCCGTAAAAGGTGACTATGCTTGTCGTAAGAGGCGACTAACGGGATCGGGTGGTCAGGCTTGCTGACCTAGTTGATGAATGTCATTATATCCCAATTGCGTAGATCGATGCGCATGTTTTCAATCCCAGGATTGTTTGGTCCAGACTCGATTATTTACAGACGGCCGTCATATAGGTGGAATGTTGGAGTGCGGCGTTAAACAACAAACCAAACAAACCAAACCATTGTTTGTTACGATGTTTCACGCTTGAGATACTGCTTGCCTCTTCATCTGCAACATCCTCTATATCTCCAGGGCTAGCATTTCGGTAAACCTATATCCAACCCCTGTACCCCTCCACAAGCTTTTCGAGATTTTTAATTACCGGTCCTTGATTTTCATTGATATTTTGCCGACCATTCAAACGTCGAGACAAGGAAAAGGAAAGTGGGTAAGGGAGGTAACTCGTTTTACTCAGACAGAAAATCTGCCGACTAATTTCATTACACGAAGAAACCCTTTCCATCAAAAAATACATTTTGTGTTTCTATCAATTTTTCAACGTTGAATTTCTCGGAAACTCTGTCGTAATCAATGGGACTGGCCACAATGTTGTTGATATCGCCATTCCAACATTGAGGCTGATTTGTAACTTGCATTCTTATTCGTACGTTAGACTTAGCAGCGTAGCCAATCAAATTGGCTTAAGGAAATCAAGGGCAGATTATTTAAGATCGCGAAACCTTATGGGTGGGTCAAGGTGTTAGAAATGCGAGCCCTGGGCCCTGTTCCACAAAGCGATCTTAGTGCTACGACAGTTGTAAGTCTATGTTAAAGTATGGGAGTTACGATCGACTTAGCGCTAAGATCGCTTTGTGGAACGGGGCCCTGGAGATTTTGACGATGCACAAATAATGACACTTTGTGAAGGGACCAATCTCATTAAAATCAGATCTAAGTTCTCGCTACCGCTTGTTCAGCGGTAGCGAGAACTTAGATCTGATTTTAATGAGATTGGTCCCTTCAGCAGCTCTGAAACTTCGTAACAAACAACAAAGAAGTTTTGAATAGTATGCTTCAAACAAGACCTGCGTATGCTCATGCATTTCCCTTTGTCTTTCAGTGCTGCCCGTCATGACCTAGATTCCAAGAGTGTCCACGTTAATCCCCTACATCGCTGATCATGGCGTATGTCCAGCCGTTCCTCCGTCGGGCGACCAGACGTCGTCCCGCTGCTCAGGACGGAGAAGAACTTTCAAAATGTCCCAATCAAGAGGATGGCTTGGCAGAAGAGGGTTTTAAGAAGTGCCTGACGACCTTTGACCTGGTGTCGCTTGGCGTAGGGAGCTGCTGCGGAGCTGGGATGTATCTTACCGTGGGCCTAGTTTCCCGGGGCGCGGGGATAGGGGGAGCCTTGTCTTTCATCATAGCAGGGTTCGGATCCTTATTGTCAGGTGTGTGGAGTTCATTGTAACGATCTTAGCGAATATGTGGTCAAACAAATATAACATGCAAACAAAAACTAACGTTATCATTGCCAGCTTATACCAACGCGAGCCACTCGAACTTGAACCAACGTTAGCATCAGCAGCTTGTATGAACAGTATCAGCTTACATGGACTGATTATTTTAAGTCTCACAAAGACGGAATTGCGTAATAATGAAATGTTTTGTTGTGGACATTACATGTTGTTATAGAGATATATCCACAATCAGTGCGCGTACCTCAGGTTGGGCCATATACCTCAGGTGTGGCCATACACCTCAGGTTGGGCCATATACCTCAGGTTTGGCCATACACCTCAGGTTTGGCCATACACCTCAGGTTTGGCCATACACCTCAGGTTTGGCCATACACCTCAGGTGTGGCCATATACCTCAGGTTTGGCCATACACCTCAGGTTTGGCCATATACCTCAGGTTTGGCCATACACCTCAGGTTTGGCCATACACCTCAGGTTTGGCCATACACCTCAGGTGTGGCCATATACCTCAGGTTTGGCCATATACCTCAGGTCACAGACTCCTGCTTATTTTAATTATTTGTCACAGCGAAATAATTCGCCCAATTGACCCAAGTTTTGTAAATATACCGACAATGGTTGGTAAAGAAAATGTAATAGTATGATCATGTTTGGATTAACAATGATCTAGATAACTAGATCTTCTAACTATCTGTAGTGGAGACCCGTGAAAATCCGGGGTAGAATAGGTTTTCCTTGCTGTAAAAGGCAACTATGCTGTCGAAGGTAGCGACTAACGGGATCGGATGGTCAGGTTCGCTGACTTGGTTGATGCATGTCAACGTATCCAATATGAATCACTGGATTCTCTTGTCCAGACTCTATTATTTACAGACCACTGTCATATAGCTGGAATATTGCTGAGTGCGGCGTTAAACAACAAACAAACAATCTGTCGTGGTATTATAGGGTTGATTAATCGTTTAATCCGCTGGTTGCATGATTCAGAGGCTGCTCTTGCCTTTTCGTATTATTATTTATAAGAATGAAATTTAAATAATACTTTTGTTTTCTCTCTAATCTATATGGTTAACGTATCCTTGATTTGGAGGGGTGTCAGATCACAGATAAATTGCAATCTTTGAAACTAAAACCAGGGAAAATAGTAATCCAGCCAAAAATGTCACTCCGATGGCAGAAGTTCTGCGACAATGTCAACAGAGGGCGCCGTTCGCAATGTGCAGACCTGCCCCATTCGTGACCAACTCGTGTTATTCCGGGACAAGCCGAATAGCGACTCGTGCCCCACTCGAGGCCATTTTGCGACCGGGTTCCGTCTTAGCGCAAACGGGCATACCTAAAACAATTTTCAACTCGTTGTGAAATGGTTCACATATATTTCCCCATATATTATATATATTTCAGATGGAATTTTAAGCACATCGGGACATGCGGAATTATACAGTATGATTAAACATTTTAACTGTATCTTGGGTTTATTTTTAGTTTCAAGACATATGTAAAATCAAAAATTATTTCTGAGGGATTCTTTGACGATGAACTTGAAATCATACGCGCATTCTGATTGGTTTGTCGTATTTTCGCACATAACATTCATCGATAGGGGGACGAGTCTTCTTGCAGGTAACGGAAAGGGGCGAGTGGTGACGAATGGACCTGCCCTTTCGGATTATTGGTTTTATGCCATGTGAACGAATTCCGACCTTAACCAATTCGGACACGTGAGCAAATATACTGCCTAAGAATATATGCTTTCCGATGACTAGTGCCACGTGAAAATTAATACATACGTGTTGTTTTTGTTAATAAGGACTATGCTATGCTGAGTTAGCTGCCCTTTGTCCAAAGACTTCCGGTTCAGCGTACATGTACAGTTACGTGACTGTTGGAGAGCTGGTGGCGTTCGTGATAGGCTGGGGGCTGTTGGTGGAGTATGCTATAGGCACAGCAGCGAGCGCGGTGGCACTCAGCGCCGCCGTAGACACCATGAGCAACTACTCCTACGGAAAAGTGATGACAACATACGTCGGTGCATTTCTAGGTTAGTATTTACAACTGTAGGGCATTATGGCTTCTCGAAAGCAATCATTGATCACGACTGTCGTATTGCTAAGTTACCTTTGTTGAACCGGGCCCTAGGCGTAGCATATTGTAAGGTTGTATAAATAGATAAATATATTAAAAGGTACGCAAAATGACACGAAAGCCACAAAGTATTTATGGTGTAACGCAGGATGAAGGGGGGTTCTACCTGTGGGTAACCGGAGAAGATGGATCTCCAGAAGCCCATGCTTGTAAATGTAGAGATTGTGGAGGAACGGCTGCGAAGGCTCTGTGACGTAACTGAATATGCGCCATCGTGTTCTAATGACGTGTAACATTGCTTTTGCTTTTCAGTCTCTGGTTTTTCTGGTCCAAACTCGTTTTTTACACGTTATCGTGAATTATAGCTAGAAAATATTGTTGACCGCGGCATAAAAAGATTGTTTTATGACATTTTTTTGCATTGCAGTTTCAAAGGGAAACAGCAGGATTCCCGTTGGATTCCCGCTGTCCGCTCTGTCGCTATAGCATTACCGTAGGTCGTGTATCTAACATTTAACAAGTCTTCTCTAATCGTGTTCCAGGTCGACCATATTTTGACGTGATCGCTGCAGTTGTTTGTCTCGCGTTAACTTTGGTACTGACGTCCGGTGTGAAACTTTCGGCGACCTTCAACAACATCCTCAACCTCGTCAACCTCATCGTCTTACTCATCTTCTGCGGCTGTTCCATACTCCTCATCCGACCAATGATCGTAGAGGACAATGGCATTTTTCCAAACGGGGTATCCGGGGTATGTACAGTTTATCTGAGCGTGGGGTGGGGTGAACCGACGGTCAAATCCTTGAAACCCACACGTGGTGGTCGGGTAGCCCAGTGGTTAAAGCGTTCGCTCGTCACGCCGAAACCCGGGTTCGATTCCCGACATTGGTACAATGTGTGAAGCCCATTTCTGGTGTCCCCCGTCGTGATATTGCTGGAATATTGCTAAAAGCGGCGTAAAACCATACTCACTCACTGAAACCCACAATCACCATCTTGTGCTGACATATAAACGATCATGCTGGGAAGAATCTGGTATTCTAATCTACGATCACCGGATCCTGTCAGCAAGGGGAGACGACTCTACCAAATTGTGGATATTTCCCTGGATTGTCTGGTTTAGACTCGATTATTTACAGACCGCCGTCATATAGCTGGAATATTGCTGTGTGCGGCGTTAAACAACAAACAGACAAACAAACATAACACTACAATGTATTCTTCTTCAGGCCATTGCTCAGATTCCCACTGCATACTTCGCCTTCATCGGCTTCGACATCGTTGCGTCGACAGGGGAGGAGGCGATGAACCCAAGCAAATCCATCCCCCGATCCATCTGGGTCTCCGTCTTCATCAACACTATTGTCTACGTCGCCGTTGTCATCTTCCTTAACCTAGCGATGCCTTACTTCGCAATGACGTCAAACTCAGCTATGATAGACGTGTTCGCAACTAAGCAATGGACGTACGTAACGTACATCGTCTCAACGGGCGCGGTGTGTGCCTTGTTCGCTGCCACCTTCGGCTCACTGTTCCCCCTTCCCAGGGTCCTCTACGCCATGGCTAAGGATGGCCTCATAAGCAGGTGAGTTGACCTTGAACTAATAACACCTGTTCGTCATGGGCACTCACCGAGTAAAGGGGACATTAGCCACTCTGAACACGACCGGCCATTTACCCTGAAAATCTCTCAGGTGCCGCTTGGTCATTATAAGCCGGGACTGAATTGGATCAGTCGACGTCGCAGGAATTCTCTCTCATGTTTATAGTCACCATGTTGGAAATATATTAATAATTTTACAAAATGTTGTTGAATAGAAGTAAAGTTTGAAAGTTAAAAACAAATGAACGAGTCCGCGTGCGTGGTAAGGCGAGACAACCCATTTCCTTCACTCACAACCGAGTCTTTGTGGCGGTTACGGTGGGGCGACGTTGGCCGATTGGATCGCTCGCATTTCTGCCCGGATTTTAATCACCACCAAGGGCAGGTAACTCTGACCATTTTGCGTCGCAACGTTGAGAGAATGCCAAACTAACATGTATGTTGTATGACATTTTTAAAACAAGCCACATTGGCATATTTAATCAGTACGAATAGCTTTCATTGGACGATAACAGACTTATTCCCTTCCTCCACCGGACTACTTCTTACTTGGGCATTCTTTCGCAAAACAGCAGTATTCATTTTAATTAAAAATAAAGCTATGTTCACATTTCGTATACTATGCGTACGAAAAGAAAGATCGTTTCGCAGGTTTTCTTTCACACATTAAACAGGACAGAGCGTCCCAGTCGTCACTAGCGTTGCAGTTCGTTGTACGTATTAAACTGAACGGTGTTATAAGTCTATAGTACAGGAAAAATCAGCGTGAACCCCGAATCATTTCACTTCATGTCACGGCTACATAGAGTTTTAATAAGCAGTCACGTTGGTTTCTCAATCATCAGATCATTATTTGTCACGTTTAAAAATGGAAGATTATTATGTAAAGGGACATAACTGATGAGTTTTGCAACACATTTACATCCTTTTGGACAATGGTGATGTCAGTCAGTTTAAATGCAAACGAATAGAGAGATTTTACACCACATCGATCAATTGTAAACCCTCTTAGTGCTTTGTAGTTCAAGGGAGACAATTGGTAGAGGTAATCAGTTTGAGGTGAGGTGAAATGGGGTTTAACGTCGCGTCCAAGATTATTGCACTTATAGCGACGTGCATGCACGTGTGTGTGTTTGTGTGGCTGCTTGTACTAGTCTGGACTGATGCCGATTTATAGTGCTAGCTCACTGAGATACCATGCCGCAGTTTAATATGAATATCCCACTCAGACACAGTATACTGACTCCGAGCCGGCCCAGTCCTTGTTTTAGCCCCTTAATGCCGAGCGCCAGACAGGGTAACAACAAGTAACATCTTTTAACGTCTCTTGGTATGACGCGGCCGGGGATCGAATCTCGGACCTTCCGCTCTCCGGGCGGACGCTCTACCACTAGACCACGGAGGCGGTCTAATCAGTTTGAACTTTGACGCAACTCCTCCACCGTCATGGTATTACAAGAGTCGGCGAGTTCTTGACCGTTTACGCCGATTTTGGCAATATATTCCAGCAATATCAAAGCAGGTGCACATCAGAAATGGGCTTCACACAATGTACCTATGTGGGGGATCGAACCCGGGCCTTTGGCGTGACGAGCGAACGCTTTAACCACATGGCTACCCCACCGGTAAGGCCAGAATAAATCTCTACTTTCACGCTTAAATGAGTGATGTTATTATGTTGGTTTCCGTTACCCGTTGCTTACTAATCCTTGGTTTGTCAGAACCATGGCCCATGCTTCTGGGTTTCATCACAGTGGTAATCGTCTGAGCCCTCCAGGGGCGGTCGGGTAGCCTAGTGGTTAAAGCGTTCGCTCGTCAAGCCGAAGACCCGGGTTCGATTCCCGACATGGGTACAATGTGTGAAGCCCATTTCTGGTGTCCCCCGCCGTGATATTGCTGGAATATTGCTAAAAGTGGCGTAAAACCATACTCACTCACTCTTGAGCCCTCCACAATGGGCTCTATCCCCCCCCTGCTCCCGCCCGACTCAAAATTTAGCTCACACGCCGTAACTGAAGTACTGTTGAAGTCGACGAAAAACTCAACTCGCGTATTTACTTCGAGTCATTTATTCTAAAACAAAATATTTCTTTGCAGCCATTTCGGATACCTATGTCCAACACGGAAGACGCCGAAGCTGGCGACAGTAGTGTCGGGGTGTATCTCCGCCGTTGTCGCCGTCTCTGTGGACCTCCGTCTGCTCATTGAGATGGTGCTCATTGGTAGGTGCCCACAGATACTGCCAAACACGGTTATACCGAACTGCTTCAACTCGAAATGTCGCCTAAACGAGTGTGTTCCACGGTCCCGGTGTACTTTCCCTGTCCGAGGGTTTAACATCGACAATCTGCTTGTCTCGAACAGGATAACTCGACGCATTGCCAATGGTCCCTGCACAGCGAGTTCCCGGAGTGTAACGTTATTTGAATTTTTGAATTCTTAAGTGGAAGCCAGAAAAGTTCAGTGTATGTGCAATGTCTGAAAGGACATCAGCGTTTTCGTCGCCTCGTACCACGAAGCGATCTCAGCCTTCGACTTTCGTAATTCAACATAGACTTGCGTTAGTGTTAGCGCTAGCACCGTTTTGTGGAACGATGGTCGTAAGTCTATGTTCAAGTATGGGATTTACAATCGTCTCAGCGCTAAGATCACTTCATGACACAGTCCCCAGTACTATATGTCGGGTTGTAGGTGAGGTGAAATGGGGTTTAACGTCGCGTCCAAGATTATTGCAATTATATAGCGACGTGCATGCACGTGTGTGTGTGTGTGTGTGTGTGTGTGTGGCTGCTTGTACTAGTCCGGACTGATGCCGATTTATAGTGCTAGCCCACTGAGATACCATGCCGCAGTTTAACATGAATACCCCACTCAGACACAGTATACTGAATCCGAGCCGACCAGTCCATGCTTTAACCCCTTAATGCCGAGCGCCAGACAGGGTAACAACAAGTACCATCTTTTGGTATGACGCGGCCGGGGATCGAACCCCGGACCTTCCGCTTTCCGGGCGGACGCTCTACCACTAGACCACGGAAGCGCTATGTGGGGTTGTAGCGACACTGTTTTCATAAGGCGGTTATTGACCGGTGTTTGTCTCTAGGATTGTTTATGTTTTCATTGAAAACTAAAGTGATACGGAGGGAAAACTTTGTGTCTTTTTAACCACCAAGAATAACAACGAAAACAATTCGGAACATATTGAACGCGGGTCTTTGATACAATGTCAGTTTCAGGGATTAAAACAGAGTCCACTTCATTAGACGCTTTCAGCCAATGCCCGTGCTCGTTTGGTTCACCAAAGTGGTAAACGTCTGAGACCTGCATCACTGCGGACTTTCCTCCACATAAAGCTGACACGACGTGATAAAACTGGAATACTGTTAAAAGCGGCGTTTTACCAAACTCACTCACTCGTAAGAAGCGGGGAATCTGAAACATTGAGAAATGTCCATGTTTACCCCACGACTCAAACTGTATCTATATTTGTTGTCCTTTCAGGAACTCTTCTTGCCTACGTTTTAGTCGCGGTGTGTGTTCTAATAACGAGGTACTCTTTTGACGAGGACAACATATCAAACCTTCCGTCCAAAGACACAAATGACAATCCCGAGAAATCTGGCCAAGATAAGATGTCAGAAATACTCTCAAACGGATCCAAAGTTGAACCGGATATGCATCTTCCGCTGTCTCGGAAACTTTGGAAACTGTTCAGCCGCTCCCCGACCCCGGGGGAAACTCTGACAAGCGGGGAGCTTTCTGTGATATTAGTGACATTGCTGGGAGCAGAGACGATAGCTAGCCTCGTTCTGGTCACATTCGGTGACGTCATTGCAGATGGAAATATATTTGTGTGCACGTGTCTGTCGCCTTTCGTACTCGCCGTCCTGGTTGTCATCATGATTTTGTGTCGCCTGCCGCAGAATACGTGAGTATTGTGACCTTGTTCTTTTGAGGTCACTAGTTTTCGAGGATTTTATTTTTGTGGTGAAAAATATCTTGTCTTCATCTTATGCCTAGGAATTATTGTTTCAAATTCGCATTAACTGTTAGAAAGAAATTAGTATGTTGTACTCTTCAGACACAAAGCAGAGTAAATGTCCGAAAAGTATTTTCTTTGACACATCCGTGTATTTTGCTCTCAGGAAGTATAGAAAACATGTTTAGGGTCTATAATACCTATAAATGATGAGGGGGCACGGGTGACCCAGTCGTCTGAAGCGCCGCGATTCGCTGTACAGAGTTGCGTCCCTTAGGCACGCCAGAAACCTATGATTGTGGGTTTGAATCCCGGTTCGCCCCGATTATGTTTCTAGGTTTGTCAGCACCATACCCATGCTCGTGGGTTTCATCGAAGTGGTAAACGTCTGAGACCTGCATCACTTCGGTCTTTCCTCCCACATTATGCTGACACGCCGCGATATAACTGGAAAAATGTTAAAAGCGTCATTAAATCCAACTCACTCACTCACTATGAATGATGACTCCATACATTCATCGTACATTTTATAAACTATTTAAGATCCCTTTCCCCTGGCCATGCCTTTTTATCCAAAAAAGGGTTACGCAAGAATAGTATACTGTAAACACTGAACAGAAGATTGGACATGGTTATTGCAGTACAGTGATGTGTTCATTTCTCCAGTCGAACTTCCGGTTTCCGGGTACCTCTGGTTCCACTGCTTCCGGTTGCCGTGACCTTCTTCAACGTCTACCTGATGATGTCATTGCGATGGGTCACGTGGTGCATGTTTGGTGTATGGATGATCATAGGTAAGTTGCAGGATAGGAATTGTGAAAGGTAATGTTTGCATTAAACCACAAAATAAAACCTTGGCTGACAACTTTTTTTGGTCATAATCCTTTAAAAAATTATACATCATTCACCCTTAATTTCAAAAGAAAAGTGGTGATAGATGTATGCATAAACCGGTGCGGTAGGATAGGCTGAACTTTTCGCGAACTCCTGGTGTCATCATTATTTGATAGTGGTTCATAAACACATCCTCATGATACAGTCCATCTTCCCGGGGCAAGCGTGTCCACTGGCCTAGTTTCTACCCTTGCCACATCAAGGCCACTTTGCCTGGCTCGACCCTGACGCCACCACGCGTAGATCACGAGTTGTGCCCCTTGCAATGAAAACGCGATATCCAATCAGATCGCTGTTCTTATCTCGTATAGCTTCACAAAGATGGCGACTACCATAGGCGACGACCTTGTCGTTCAGAAAACGAAAACATTCGCGATTTTAAACCTGAAACGAAAAACACAGGCAATCGTTGGGGTAGGGTGGGTAAAGCACACGTATGTAGTCTCGTATCAATTCCATCCTGCTGGAATATTGCTGACTGCGAGTGCAAAATAGCGATGACTCATTCAGGCACACGCGCACGCACTCTCACTCAGGTTCTCACGCACTCACTGTACGTTCGATGTTACATGTATTCACGTGATGGTCTCTTTGTTTCAACGGAGGCCACGCGCCACTGCTTTCTGTACATTTATACAAGTTTAGTGCATCACTTTTTATCCCCCGGGTATATACACCTTTGAAAATATACGAAAACTATTTAAAACAGGATATCCTAAGGGTAGAAATCACAGGTACCTTCCGTGAATTATATTCGGGCGAAACACTCCCACACTGTTTAAGAATTTTTCCCACCTTTAGATAAATGTCAAAAGGTAAAGATTTGGATGTATACTTCGCCACATTTTAGTAAATAAATAAAGTTTGCTCAACCCCTATGTGTAGTGTAAAAAAGTATAGATTTGCCCTGAACTATTATACTTAAAGCACGAGGAAATTTTTCTTCCAAGGTAATAATAAAACATAATATTCAAGTTTTCGCCAAGTTTAAAGAAACTTCACCGAAAATTGATGTGGGTGCGCCATTTTGCTTGGTACTGATGAAAGACAGATGTTACGTTAGATCAAGGGTAATTTTAACGGCGCTTTGACGTCAGTCCATTATGACGTAACTAAAAAATGGTACTTTATCGCAGGATGAAGTACAGTCGACCCATTTGATCTTAACTAGAAGACAACACGTACTGGTTGTCCTTTTCCAGCAGGGATCCATATTTAAGGTTTATTTTCTTTTTTAGTTCACATTTAGAGCTGCTTCGTGAAGGAATGGGTTGGTATATGACACGTGTCTCTGTAATCTGAAGGAGCTCTACTAAGCAGTAAGGTTTTTGTTTCAGGTTTTCTAGTTTACCTGTTTTACTCCCAGCGAGATGGAGGACCCCAGGTTTCATCTGTTGATGAAGATAAGCGTCCCCTACTGGAAGCCAAAGACAGCAAGGATGAGGACCCATAAGGACCGCGTGAACAAATTAGTCAGGAATGTCTCGAAGATGGTTGAGTAAAATGACTGCTATACCATGTCATACATGTTTGTCCAAAAATAGTCCATGGCATCGGTAAAACGTATCAAAGACGAGGTGTGACAATTTATCATAGAATTAACCATCGGAAATATGAAAAAATACTGTGATAATTGTTATCATTATAACAATAGTCTAAAACACTGATTTTCAGTTTCTGGCTGGGATGTAGGTTAGCCATTAAAAAACTTTGGGAAAGTGTTGATATGTAAATTATGAAACAGTTTAGCGAGGGCACCAGCCCAGCGGGATCGGTTTCCTGATCTGTGATTCCAGACCTCTGTGACTTGGGTCCTTTATCCCAATTTGAAACAGTTGGATTTGGTTGACGTATATCAGAATTGTTACCTTGTTATATTTCGTCGCTGTGTGTTCACCCGACTCTGCACTTCGTGACGTGATATAACCAGCTGATGACAGGCCACGCAGACTCTTAACAAAGGCTTAAGGGCGATTACCCTTGGGAGTGGGCCGATGGACTGCCGCGAAAGGCAAATAGAAATTTCTTTGGTAGGCACATTGTTATTCTGCCTACACGAAATACGCCACTGTCAAAGAAACAGGTTTCAGCTGGAAGTATGTTGAGTGTTGTGCCTGTTCGACTGTAAAATCGCGAAATTTCTGAATATTCATGCGTACAATGTAAAGATACCATATGTTAGAGATGAAAACAGGTTTAACAGAATTTAAGAATGACATTATATGATAAAGATAGACATTTAGAGATAAATTGTAGCCGATGATTGCCGATCAGGTATGAATGAGCATATAAGCATAAACCGGAAGTGTTCACGAATAGCATGTGCTACCTGTTGGTGTATCTGGGCCCGTTCTCCAAAACAATTTCAGCACCAGGACTGCCGTAAGTCAGTGTTAAATAAGGGGCGGTCGGATAGCCTAGTGGTGAAAGCGTTCGCTCGTCACCCCGGTTCGATTCCCGACATGGGCATAATGTGAGAAGCCCATTTCTGGTGCCCCTCGGCGTGATATTGCTGGAATATTGCTAAATACGGCGTAAAACCCATTCGTGACCAACCCGTGTTATTCCGGGACAAGCCGAATAGCGACTCGTGCCCCTCTCATGGCCATTTTTGCGACCGGGTTCCGTCTTAGCGCAAACGGGCGTACCAAAAACAATTGTCAACTCGTTGCGTAATGGTTCACATATATTTCCCCATATATTATATATTACAGTGTGATTGAACACATTTGGTATATTTTTAGATGCAAGACATATGTAAAATCAAAAAATATTTCTGAGGGATTCTTTGACGAAGAACTTGAAATCATACGCGCATTCTGATTGTTTTTTCGTATTTTCGCACATAACACTCATCGATAGGGGGACGAGTCTTCTTGCAGGTTACGGAAAGGGGCGAGTGGTGACGAATGCGTAAAACCATGCTCACGCACTCGGTGTTAAATAATGAAATAACGACAGTCGAAGGACTGGGATCAGAGCACCGTTCCACAAAGCGATCTTAGCGCTACGATCACCTTAGCGCTAAGATGGCTTTGTGGAACGGGGCCCAGTTCATTCAACGTGGCCCGGTCATCAGAATACCGCGTTTTCTTCACCTTGCATTATCTCCACGTGGAGCACGTGATTATTACACAACACAACACAGCTGCACGTGTCATCAAAACTGATTGACTGTACCGTCTTTTAAATACATTACTTTGGTGAAGGATTTACAATTTCTTCGAAAGGTAAGAAATATAACTTGATGTTGTTTAATGAATCTAGTAGCAGATTATCCCTTGGTCATTGAAGCATATTCTTTGCAAATGTGTCTGAGTGGGGTATTCATGTGGCTTGGGGGCGGTCGGGTAGCCTAGTGGTTAAAGCGTTCGCTCGTCACGCCGAGGACACGGGTTCGATTCCCGACATGGGTACAATGTGTGAAGCCCATTTCTGGTGTCCCCCCGCCGTGATATTGCTGGAATATTGCTAAAAGCGGCGTAAAACCATACTCACTCATTCACTCATGTGGCTTGTGTGCCAGCACGTCGCTATTTTAGTGCAATAATCTTGGACGCGACGTTAAACCCCTTTTCATCTCACCTCAAATAACTGTTAGAGATTTGTTGTTCATGCAATGCCACACATTGTTTATTTTGAAATATATTTATGATTTTAATCGCCACACCATCACTTTATGAGCTTCCTAAAGCGTCCGACCTATTTATTATTGTTTTTATCACTCTGTATGGAGTTGCTGTGATATGGGCGTTTTGGCGTTCAAACGATGGGAAATGATGTATAAAGGAGGTAATTATGTATGTGTTAACCCACATGAGCTGTTAAAGAAATAGAATCTCACAGTTTATACACACAGACCTGGGGTATGTTTTTATCTCGTAACCAAATGCATATCGTTGTTAGAGGAATGTAACATTTGCTAATATATTGCATTTTGTTTCTCCGTGGTTAATTAATATTTATGCTGAAAAATGTCCAAAGACTTCTTGAGATATTTGTGGGGTAGTCGGTATATATGTATTACACGTGGTTATCTAGTCTCAAAGTATTTATTTATGCATTAGTCGACTGTCAAAGATCAAATTGGACATGGTAGCAGAGCAAAAAAAAGCATACTTGTGTTTCTTCAGGTATGAGAGAGAGGTTGTAAAAAGGTGGGTTTTTTACATTTTTTAATTTAATTTTTAATTTTTCTTGACAATATAAGTTTGATTTAAAAAAAGGTAGGATCACACGTGCAATGATTAGTGTGGATGTCCACAGATGCACAAGTATGTCTTTTTGTTTTCTTTATGGCGTCAGCTGAATAGGGCTGTCGTGTGTAGTTATTGGGCGTATATTGACTGACATATTTATCAGTGATTGTATAAGTTAATCTTCTCATGGGTTGGTTGGTCTAGTTGTTTTGTCTCAAACCCATAATCTGCCCATGGGAAGAGAAAAAAACATTGACTAACAGATGAAAGGGTATTGATTGATTTGTCTCCAGAAATACACGGAAACATCCCACTTTTCCTTCCCTCCCTCCGTATTCGTTTTGGATTCAACACGTAAAATATTTGTTCACCGAAATCTCCATTTTTATTTTGTATTCCAAAAATCAGTTGTGATTTTATTGTGAGACCCGATGACACCACTTTGATAGAATCCATGAACCAGAGATGGTTAATATGCAATTGGGAAAAGATCTTGACTTCGTGTTTCAACTTTTATGAAGAATTTCTCCTTTCCAGATGTGCCATATTTATTTTAATATATATTTGACATATTATGATAATCAGTTTTGTGTATCATGGAAATATTAGAAATATCCCTTTCAAAAGTGGAGTAGTATACGTGTACAAATGAGCTTAGCAACTGTTTGATTATCAAGTGTGCCTTATACGTGGTGCCACTGTGGAGTGCTGGAGCATGTGCCATAGACGTGCCTTTTACCGAACGTGTTAACACGGGAAGCCGTCGCGTGGGTAATATTCAGTAGACATATCTACATGTTCATGAAAGTGGGTCGAGCTGTGGGGGTGTATGTTCGGTTTCCGGGGGAAATGTCCAGTACCCCGTGTTCGTTGTTAGAGCTGACGTTTGGGGGGCGGTCGGTTACAATATGTGCCCTGGCTGACAGGGTGTCTTCGTACTCAGCCAGCGTATATCGTTGTTCATGCTGTCAACCACTGGTTTGCGTAACCCAAACACGTGTTTACAGGCCTCACTGATAACCCTTAACATTGCCAAAAAGGCTTTATGTTCGCTTGCAGTGGCCAATGAAATTGGCTTCAGTTGTAGCAGTACTTAAAGTACGATTGTTGTGAATATTTATAACACCATTTCATTTTATCATTTAATTAAACGATTTTTTTTGTTTAAAACAAATATTTAAAAATATTTGATAATGATTGTCTTCTGGTTCATCTGGACCAAAGATCCGAGTGAGAACTGGACCAAAGTTCCGCGTGAGAACTGGACCAACGTTCCGAGTGAGAACTGGACCAACGTTCCGAGTGAGAACTGGACCAAAGTTCCGAGTGAGAACTGGACCAAAGTTCCGAGTGAGAACTGGACCAAACTTCCTAGTGAGATCTGGACCAAACTTCCGAGTGAGATCTGGACCAAACTTCTGAGTGGCCTACTTGTCCGGCGTCGTTATCAACGGGGTCGATGTTTCCATCGATGTCTACGCTGTCACTATTGAAGCAGGATTATCTGAGGAAAGTGTTTGACAGTTTGGTAAACATCCTCCTTCAAATTCTGTCAAATCGCAAGATTCTCCCCGATCATGAATTGTATACAACCTCCTGTGCGTCTTCAATGAGACGACACGCTGTGACTCAAGTACTTTTCAAAGCGTTAAACTTAAGTTACTCACTCACTTGGGGCGGTCGGGTAGCCTAGTGGTTAAAGCATTCGCTCGTCACGCCGAAGACCCGGGTTCGATTGCCGACATCGGTACATTGTGTGAAGCCCATTTCCGTAGTCCCCCGCCGTGATATTGCTGGAATATTGCTAATTATGGAAACCATACTCACTCATACCCACGACTCACTCACTTTGGGGCACGGATGGCCCAGTCGTGTAAGGCGCCGCGATTCTCTGTGCAGAGTTGCCTCCCTTGGGCACGCCAGAACCCCATCATCGTGGGTTCGAATCCCGTTTCTCCCCGGTTACGTTTCTAGGTTTGTCAGCACCATACCACTGCTCGTGGGTTTCACCGAAGTGGTAAACGTCCGAGACCTGCATCACTTCGGTCTTTCCTCCCACATTAAGCTGACACGCCGTGATATAACTGGAATATTGTTAAAAGCGGCGTTAAACCCAACTCACTCACTCACTCAAATGTCAAATATTTATGTGTCTCCAATCTGCATCCAGTTTTATGTTGATATAAAACGTCAAAGCCTGAGAATAACCCGTCTCGATTATCCGCCGAAAAAGATTCCATTTGGCTTAGAAAGCAAAATAGCAGTGACAAAAAAATGAATGGATCACTGAAAATCACTGACGACACCGGGTGTTCTCGAAAAGGGTAAGCATGTCCTGCCCTACCAGTAGCACCCGACACTCATAAAGAACGTGAAAATCCGTATGTAACTTTCGTCACGGTCAAGGTCATGGAGAGCTAAAATACTGTTGCGACAATTGCATAAATCCACATAGAACGTTCCAACTTGAAATGATTTTGATTGGAAGCCGGAAAGAGAAAAAATAGTCCCTAAATCTTTTTTATTTGCACAATATACATACATTTTGACCACATATCAGTAACTATATATTTGTCATATCAGCGTATCTGTGTTAATAACACGTTCATCATCTGCAGCCAAACGTTGTTTTTATCAATGATGAATCATGCTTGTTTCAGTGTTGGTGTATGCAATTTTAGATCCACGTGTTTAACATCTACTGACATTTTATGAATCTCTGTTGCAATTTTACATTTGTTAACCATTTAGTCCAACAATGTGTTGTTGTGTCGCTGTAAACATGTGATGGTTGTTGAAATGTTTATTTATTGCGGGTAACATGCATCCTGGTTTGTTTTAAGACAATGAAATAAATGATGGAAGTAAATATGTTTCTTGTTATGTAGAGTTGCGTCCCTTTGTCGTGCCAGGATCTCTATTTGCCTTGATACACCTAAGATAGCCTAAAGGATTACCACCTGCTTCACTGACGGCATTCCAGCGACAGGCCGAAAGACGTTAAAAGATGGTACTTGTTGTTACCCTGTCTGGCGCTCGGCATTGAGGGGCTTAAACAAGGACTGGTCGGCTCGGAGTCAGTATACTGTGTCTGAGTGGGGTATTCATGTTAAACTGCGGCATGGTATCTCAGTGAGCTAGCACTATAAATCGGCATCAGTCCGGACTACTACAAGCAGCCACACAAACACACACACGTACATGCACGTCGCTATATAAGTGCAATAATCTTGGACGCGACGTTAAACCCCATTTCACCTCACCTCACCACCGACAGGCCGACATGGCTAAAATAGCGCTCG